CTGTAAACACAAATTAGTTAGCATAAATCAGTTAAATGACGAAAAATTAGGTGTCTATTTACTTGTGACCACTCAGTGTATATAGGTAGCAAAATGGCAAGTACTCAGTGGTTGACAAAATGAATATGTAGCACGAACCAATAGGACAAAAACAACCCAAATGTATGATTGGGTACAGTTACGTGTGTTCATAAGCTTGATATCTTGCTTTTATTGAATAAGTTGCATCTCTATCTGATTTGTTATGCTAATTTGCACATTAGTCATGTCATATATCAGCAATAGAAATTGTTTTAGAAACCTTACTGGCCTAAAATCAATTTCGACACATTATTTAATAAAGTGATAAATTGGCCCCCCAAAACACTTTCAGCGCTCTCTACAAGCAAAATGATTTCTCAATATATCAAGCAACTTATGACGGTGGAGGACACATTAAGGGAGCTATTGCTTAAACATTGCGCTAGTGTTAAAATACTTTCAGTTTGAGAAGTAACCTAAATATTATCAAAGTGAACAGCAACACTTTAAAACTACAAATACCAAATCAATTCATAAAATGAAACTAAAATTAATCTTTACCCATTTCCTGTAAGCACTTTACCCATCATATACTACTTAGTTCCTTTGAATTTGGAAAAAAGTCTCTAAAAAACATGATTTAAAGTTGTTTTGTTTGTTTTAAAATTTTCGCACAAAGCTACACAAGAGCTATTTATCCATAACCGTCCCTAATTTTGAACTGATAGGTTAGAAGGAAGGCAATTAATAAAAACCACCCACCGTTAACTCTTGTGCTTCATTTGTCTAATCTAAAATTCCACCTGAAACTGGAAGAGGTGTATATCTACAAACATGACAATAGTGAATGAGTTAAAGAGAAAAGAAGTATAGACCTATTAATGACTTTTTTCTCTTTCCATTTCCTTTGTTGATAAAGCATATGATAAATTCCTCTGTAAATCAGTATACAGCAGGCCTGTACCTAGAATGTTTGAACCATGGGTTCTAATTTGTGAGATCAAAAGCCAACACATATTGTGCCAAGCACAATCATAATGCAAATCATGCTAACGTTAGGGGGGTCTGTTTCAAGCCAAAAAATGCTAATACTTCATCAGAAGAATGCAGACTATGTTGAACACGTTAAGTACCATAAGCAGCTGCGCTACAACTATATAAGCATATTTTTTTTAGATCACAAAAGTAGGAAGTTCGGCCAAACCTCCTCGAACCCCCCACTGCGTACGTACATGTATAGTACAATTTAATAAAAAAGTAAAACAATTCAATATAAATCACATTATTAACTTCATATTCCCTTCCCCTCTAAAATGTCGTGTTTATTACAGCACAGTGTTATATATAATCTCTAAGTATTCAAAAAATTAAATTTTGATTATTCTGAAGGACTCATCAGTTGTATCTTTTTCAGATGGTACAGGCAAGTCATAGGTATCAATATATACACACATACATAATAGTTAAATGCACTGAAAACAGTTTAACGTTGCAAACACAAAGCATAGACACAATGGCACAAACACAATAAATGTTGTCGCAGATAAAACCATGCGAGGCATACAGATAAGATTAGTATAATAGAAACTGTAAAATGTTTTGGCGAGTCATGCCGGTGTTACCATGGATATAACAAAGACAATCATAACTCCAAGCCTCTGAACTAAGGGAATGTCGCTGAAAAAAGCATTCTCATACAGCAACATCTACTAACGGCCTTAGACACACGAAACCAAAGCGACACAAACACAGTTGTCATGGTACAGGCGTATTACCTGAAACTACTTGCTGTTTATTTGTCTATTTCAGCATGGTTTTCCCACCATGTCTAAAATTTCCAACACCTTTAAAATACTCGGAAAAACACTGAGGAAGAACATATTCTACAATTGCATTTCATAGTCTGCGTCCGGAAAAATCACGGATACTGATGACTTAACATTCTATAATAAAATGAAATTGTTGTTGGTTTTCTCAGCGTAAGCTACACATTGTGCTGGTGGATATCTGTACTCTTGTTCACCGCGGAGGCATCGAATCCTTAGATTTTAACGTTGTAAGGCCGTAAACGTACCGCTGACTCACCGGTTTTGATCAAACCACCACCACCACCATTTGCATATTTTTATTTTCTATAACAATTTAACATACTTTTACGTTAATGAACAGGTATCTTTCTGAAGTTTATATACCGCATGTTCATGTCGACTCAACATAAAGCACCACTGACAATTTTGAATATTCAAACACTATAATTATGTGATAATTTTTAAGCTTAAAACTGGAGAAAATAGCCTTCATCTCAATTGCAATATAATGCAAGTCAACTAGAATAATGTAAATTTTAATTATGTTCTTCATTTCAAGTACTATTATTATACACCTTTACAGTTACTACGAGTGTAGTCATTTGAAAGTTACAGCCAATAAATAATATTATACATTTTTGTGATACGGAATATTCTATCATGTTTTGAAACACATGGAAACAGCACTTTTTGAGACCCATTGATATATATATACATATATGTTTTGGGTAGCTTAATTTTACCTTATTTCTACTTTTAACTTTATTACATCTTTTTAAGGGTAACTGCTTTCCCACAACTGGCTGCAGACAGTGAAAGGCAGTAAGAGTTGAGACGTTGTGGGTATAAGCACTCAACTCTGTACCCTTAATGAATTTTCCACGACTGCTGACTGGTTTCTCATCTGCTTTTTGGATTTTGTCTAATAGATGGGGTATCTCCAACGTGCTTGGGTGCTATTATCTCGTTATGAGTTTTGGATAACTACCGGAAAGTGCGAAGGTTTTTGTTGTTTGTTAAATAGAGTTTTGAATTTATATTAAGTTCATTATTGTTTTATAATGCTGATCTTGACCGCCTATTGACAATTAATGTAATTGATATAATAGTTTTGAAGCTATACCTCTTATTATGTGTGTATATATATATATATATATATATACACACACATCCTACCGTTTTTTACTACAAATTTACGCTATGCCTAACGTGGGGATTGAACCACGAATTCTGGCGTTATAAGCCCTCAAGCTTACCATGTCTTACATGCAGGGGCAGACTGACTATACGGGGTGATAGGTTGTGGACCGAAAGCCCGTGGGGGTAGGGGCCCGTATACCAGTCTAAAAAAAATATTTTTATTGTATCAAATAAAAAGTTTTAAATGGAAATTGACTTTTACTTTTAAAACCTATTGTGGTTGGCACTGCAGTTTGACATGCCAATTAACCCTTTAAACACTGTAGCATGCTATACAATGCATTTACAGTCATTGTATTTACAAAAAATACTTGTTTAAATTTGTTCTTACATGGAACTGATTTCCACTTCTATAACGCGTTCACAACTACAATTGCAGAGCGTGTTTGGCGGCTTCGCGGATCGCACCTCCAACCTTTTGGTCTGGAGTCTGACCGGCTAACCCTAGGCCACGGCCGAACTTAATAAATAAATATGTCTATTTATAAAATTTTGCTTTTTGTTAAGAATACAAAATTAGCACATATATTACTTTATCATCATTCATCTGTTACCGATTAATTCCTTAATCTGACAGTAGGAGAAATTAAAGTTCTATATACTGATAAACAGAAACAAGTTAAAAGAAGGCCTATTGTTTGTTTTAATAAAATAATACTTACAGCATAGTTGAATGGCTCATTATAGGCATGGTTATTTGCATATATCTTCCTTTCCGTCTCTACAAAAACACAAATATATCCTTTCGTTATTAAAAAGTAAAAAATATCCTATTAAAACAAATAAATGAAGAACGCCCTTTATAAAACTGTTACATGAAATATGATATAACACATCAAGATTTGTCACTTAAGAACCTGCAGTATTTTGGTAAATAAATGTGAAATTCGGTGAACTTGTTAATTTTAAACTGTAAATAAAACACACGAAACAAATCCATTTACCGAAGTCTTCAGACATAAAGGAACATCTTAAAACTTTCATTGTATGTAGAGTACAAATTGGAAGTTGTTTTACATACGAAAGTGTACGCTAAGAAAAGCGGCTACAGAAAGTTTGATTGGTTTTTGTTTCGGCTATCTGCACTAGTCGTCCCTAATTCAGTAATTGTGAACAAATAAACTAAAGTGAAGACTTCTAGTAAACAGCACCAACCGGCAGCTCTTAGGCTGCTCCAATAGAATAGTAAAAACTTGACCATTACTGTTATAATACATCCAATTTACAGTGCGGCACGCTAACCACTAGGCCACGCCCGCCCTAGGCTGGAAAGAGAGAGGGAAAAACAAAATAAACATAGATGGCTCTAACAGATGAACAAACAACTTGGCCACGCCCGCCCCAGGCTAGACAGAAGTGAAAAAAAAAGAAACGTAGATGGCCCTAACACATGATCAAAGAACTAAAGATTATTTATGACGTTATAAGATTCTCAATGATTAAACATAAAACCGATGTTCCGAATTTTCTCGAAGGCGTGAGGCTGAAATGCAAATATAGATGTTTATTTTCTTCTACTAATGAGACGATTGTAACTTTATTAATAAAGCATTCTTCCGTTCTCGCTGCATATATTTTAAAAAATCGAAACTACACAATCTACGCACAATTTTAAATCGTTTTAAGGCTATACGCATGATTACACCATACATAGACCACAGAGCAACAATTTTGAAAGGGTGAGTCATTTAAACGTAATTTACGGAAATCTAAAGCGGGCATATCGTGATACAAAGCAATTGAGAACACGCTGGTCAATTTATCTCCTCTGTTATATACCGGTAAAGTTTCCAATAGGAAAGAAGGGTGTATTCAACGTATCAATATCTTAAACGATCATGTGTACTTATCAAAACGTAATACTAAATTCAATGTTAAATGGCAAGTTAAATATTGTATAATGGTAAATAATATCAAGTTTATTTACCGGCTAAAATAAATGAGTACATTATATATACTCATAGCTACATACACACACTAACCCATTCAAATATAAACTGGTTTGTGTTCCATTGTATACATCCTCCTGATCGTTACTTTGGTCAAGAAAAATTTATATTAAACTTCAATTACGGTTATCGAATAGATTTTACTAGAAGTTATATTGTTAAGATAGAAATATATATATAGCAACAATTTAAAGTAATTCATGACATTTAACATTAGAGCACATGCTCACCTCCCATGTCTTAATGTCCCATGTCATCTTCATACAAACGTCGTAAGTCACGGAATTAGATTCGACGTGAAACATGCGTATATCTCTATAATTATTTATTAACAAGTTACGCGCTGTCAGTGGGTGGTTAATGCAATACTTGTAGAGCAACAGAGAAGAGGCTGTTTACAAGGAAAGAGTAAGGTTGATGCTACTTGCGGATGGCTCAACATTATAAACAGATAACACACTACAAAATAAATACTTTACAGAGGTGTGACCACGTGCTTTAACGTTCGATACGTTATACATCAAATACAATTACCCGATGTATATACTGAGGTTGTTTTCTTGTTATGATCAAGTTAAGGAACACATATTTATAAAAGGACAGAAAGGTTATCTACCAACCAGAAGATGTAGCAGAGACAGAGAATGATAAAGATGTACCCGATTTTGGTGAGTTATATACATATGACAGTATCTAAGCCAACTTTGAGAACAGCGGCTTCGCTTAACACAAGTAAATCATATTTAATGCCGTTTTTACCTAAATGGATTCATTTTTATTGCCTAAATTCCGAAATTCAGCATATTTTCCTCTAGTTAGATGCAAATACACCCTATATTGTAAAGCTTCACGTACAACTCTAGCGCATATGTGTGCAATATTTTTAGCCGCGGCATAGAGGCTCATAGAATGGCTCTGAGTTTTTCTTTAAGTACAAACTTTTAGCTTGTAGCTCTGTCATCTCTTCACCAATTTGAGATCTAATTACAGTTTTGTACTCAAGAGGTCAAACCCTTTCGTTTGATCAATTTGTCCACGCCCAAGGTCTCGTGGATTAATTTACTCTAATCTTGCCTAAAATAAATTCAAGTGCCGCGGCTATTGAGGATTCCCTCTTGTTTATGCTGACAAGATGAAACTCAAATAGAGAACAAATATGGCACAATCGTCAAGTTAAAATTTTCTTTGTCAGTTAGTCAAACATATTAAGTCATTTTCGTGTTTTAATCTAATTGATTTCATTTTCCAAATATTTAAAAGAAATAATTTTAATCAAAAATGCGTTCAGGTGTGGATATATGAACCAAACGGTTACCATTATGAATCTAGATTTGAATTTTATCTTCAGACAAATGTTATAACAGTGTGTGACGTACCATGCTTCGTAAAATGTCTATGTTGAAACACCAAAGCGTATTATTTCCTATAACGTCACAATATCAAAAATTTTAGACACTTTTTAAAGAATTTACTTTATCTATAATTGAGTTGCTAATTGCATAAATTATTTTACTTTCTGTTGTTTTTCATATTATTTTTCTTCTACTTTCAATAACTATCAATACAAAAAACAAAACAAATAAAACATTACCGAACCTGGTTAAATTAATATTAAAAAATGAGTAACTGAAATAAATCTTCAATCTAATACTAAAATTAGAACCTAAGCTGTGATAGAGAGAGAGAGAGAGAAATAGAGGGACGTGTAATCGTATTAAAATGGTTATTTTAACCACTGAGGGATGTGTTTTACTCACCAATTTGTCTCTCAGTTCCCCACTGGAAAATGAATAATTTCCTAATCATAATCTTATTCTATTAAGTTCAAATTCACAAGTATAATTAGACATTCACACAAACGTCCTTATTACACACAGAAGCGTATTAGTTATAACCAGGTTTAGAGAACTTTGATCAATACGTTATCAGAGGTTTTTGAAGAATGTTATCAATACTCTTCGTACTGGTCCACTGAGAAATATCAAACAAAAATAATTACTCGTGATAACCGTTTGAATCTATATAACAACCCAACTTTTTATCACAAGAAAAAAAAAAAACTGAGCAAAACGTAGATACAGACGTAACTTGTTTGTTTGTTTTTGAATTTCGCGGAAAGCTACACGAGGGCTATCTGCGCTAGCCGTCCCTAATTTAGCAATGTAAGACAGCTAGTCATCACCACCCACCACCAACTCCTGGGCTACTCTTTTTACCAACGAATAGTGGGATTGACCGTCACATTATAACGCCCCCACAGCTGAAAGGGAGAGCATGTTTGGTGGGACGGGGATTCGAGTGCCCTAATCGCCGGGCCCAGACGTAACTTATCTTCTAAACATTGATAAATACACAGCCACGAGTTCTCATTTTCAGTGTAGATTTTCAACTCTGGTTGTCATGGTAGTTTAATAGAAGCATACGTAGGAAACGCTGCCACAACCAGCTCAAAAGGCTAAAGGTCTAATAAACGTTTAATAATTTAACAGAACGAGTTAACGTGACATCGTTTCTTTGCCATTTGTGCATTTCATTTATTTAACATAATAGTGGCAGTTCGACGCCACTCAGAAAAACAGAATTCAATGTAGCGATTAAACGAAGCATTTCATCTGCTGATAAAACCTTGCAGGTACACGTTCATCTTTACGGAAACACTTACTGTAATTTCTGCATAGAAATAAGGCAAATTAAACAAGTTTCAATCCATCATGTGATATAACACATTATTCGAATCCCTTAATTTTCCAGTTACTGGAAACTTAAATAATGTATAGCTTCAGTTTCTCAAAAGAACAAAGATCTTAAAGAGCTTTGAGATTTTATGTCGACTAAGTGTATGGTACTCGTTGTTTAGTTTCACTAACTTTAAAACTGTTACTGTTTAAAACTGTCAGTAATATTGGGTTGGCCTCACAAGGGACAGTTATAATAATTTCATTAATAGAATAAAAACATCTTGGCCATATATTATTATAAATGTGGAAGTAAATATGATGTATAACACATCACTTGCGTTTTACTAATGTTCTTGTTTTTCATTACCACCCATACAATAAAAAAAAACTGGTCTCTCTATTGTGTATTATATTATGAGTAAAAACCACAAAATCCGACGTTTTTTTGGTATAATGAAAGATAAAATCTTTATTAATAGTTATAGCTGAACGAGTTCGGTAACACAGTTACCATCATCAGGGCTAGTGTTTGTGTTAACGAAATTTGTTGGCTATAACCAATAACAAAAATTTGACCTTTATTGTGCCTGAAAAGAAATTATTGTGTATTATATTCTACAATACACAGAACAATTAAAGGATAATCGGAAATATGATTATCATAATCATAGGTATGACGAAGTAAAACTGATATTATAAAATAATGTGAATCATCACCCTCAGTTCGTTCTTATGCAAATCACACATACGTGATTTCAAATACTTCGCCATAAAGTCTAAGCTACACATGCACACACAGCGGGTTCAAACAATTTTTATCTTTTGTCACTATAAAGTGAAACACTGAGTTGAATATTCTTCGAATTCTTCATGAGCCATGGCTCGACCTTCAATAAGACATGAAGATACGGGCGCCCACAGAAATATTTTCGAGGGGGGGTAAAACATGTACGTAGGGATCAGCTTTTACAGGGTAAGTCAACAGACTAAAAGAATGTGTGCTATGTGTACTTAAACGCAAAAACAAATGTGGAGTAGTAATAAAGATTACTAAAAATACTTAGTTTAAGTAGGGTGTTAAGTTTACATTATAA